TGCTGAAGACTTGACCTGCCAACTCTTTGCAGCTAATTGCTAAACATTCATTATTTCTGTAAACTTGTTAATAGCCAACAGCAAATTAAGAGAGGATACTTAGGTGACAGTGCATATCCACCTAAGTTTTACTTGCTTCTCTCTCTGCTAATCAAAAAAATGGAGAGCAAATACCTATAAAATAACTTGACAACATTAAAGAAAAGTTCTTGGCAGCCCTTTCTTCTTTTCCCCCACTCCTCTAAGGAGCCCCCTACACCTCAACCAAAAAAAAAAAATCAGAATTAACAAGATTCATGCTTAGCTTCACCATTGAATCACATCCACATTCATTTGTTTGTACATTTTTTGGTTAGCTTGTAAGCCCTTTGGGACAAGGATCTTGTCTTTATACCTTCCTAACATGCCCAGCAGTGTGGGCACTATAGAAATAAAAACAACCGTTATAAATTTCAAGAAAACAGTTGAACTCCAAGTAGCTCATTCATAAATATGTTGTGTGCTCATCTTGTATGTTAGGACCTCTAAAGAACTAGCCCAACACTTAATAAATAAAAACTATAGGTGAAAAAGGAGGCCTACTGTATACAATGTCATAAATAAGCTCACGCAGCTTTTAGTGATATGTCACTACTTACAGTCAACTATAAACAATAGGCCAGAGTTACATGAGTCTAAAATCAGGCCCTATCATATTTATTTAAATCTGAACTCACTGGGACAGCCTCACTTAAATACCACTGAAAGATTTTTGGGAATAATCCTTTGTATTTACAAATGCCTATGCTTCATCTGTGTCCCAAGCCTCGTATACCACATTTCTATGAATATTCCGGCAAGTGAATATTCCTGTCAAGAAAGGTCACCAAGGGTCTGCTGCAAAGCTCATTGAAATCCATGGAAGGACTCCCCACTGTGGACTTCAGATTGGGGCTCAAAAGGGCAACATTTTCAATGTATATTTGTGCAACTTGAGTTCCTAATTTGTAGTTGAGATATTCACACTAGAAACCAACTGTAAGAGGCACCCTCATCCTGTCAGTGAATGGAAACATACCACATGATCTGTGTCTCCAATCAAAAATGTTTGACCTTGGAGTATTGAATACCTGCCACAAACTGCTCACAAACCAGCTATGGACTTAAATTTATTTGCAAGAATTATTGGGTGAATAATTGTGAATAACTAATACATTTGAGGAGACCACACAATCTGTTCACGCACAATATGCAAACTAAAGTTGAGGTGAATTCCATTGAATAATGTATTCATTACAAGTTATTTGCTAAATTCTAGCCATATGAGATTTGCTTGTCATGAAGGCCATAGGGATAGCTGTCACTCTATAACAATGTAAATATACTACCATACAAACAACTTCAGGGCACAGTCTAAAATGCAATGGTCACAGCTATAGGTCTTTTTAATGGTGGGAAGACTTACTAAGGTATAAAACGGAGCCCATTTTTAATAGAAAAAGCAGCTTAATTCAGCTTTTTAGAAGTGGCTTTTGCCAAAACCTGCCTCCCATCATCAGTTTGGGGTTCAGCACAGGGTGCATTTGCAGTCTATTTTGGATATAAGTGAACAAAAATGCTGGTGCCTCATTATACAATGTTGTAAACTACTGTTGTCACTTTTGCTCAGAGGGACCCAGACAGCTACCTCAAAGCAATCACAATGATATGTCCTGTGTTCATAAAAAAAAGAAGTGCAAACCTGAAGAGCTATTCAGACTGTATATTGTAACAATATATATCTCATTTCCAGCTCTGCAGTATCACTAGATATGCCAACCTATACAAGCTTGCTACACACATTGTAACAAGCTTGAATGGCTGCCATATTTTCTGCTTCCTCTTTGCTTCCAAGCTGGAGAAGCACAAGATCTTGGGGGGTGGGGGAGGGAAGTGGAGAATAACCACCTCTAAGGGTTCAAGGAGCTGAGCAACATTTAGCCATGTGGAGCCAAATCCTGCCTTCATTTACTCCAATGCAACCCCACTGACTTCAGTTTGCTTGGCAGCCATTTACTGAAGTTAGTTCAATTGCCTGGGTACAAATGAGGACAGAATTTGACCCACAACTTCCAGTAAAGCTAGAGGGTGGATACATTCTATGGAAATCTGAGAATTTAGGAGTCACAATATCAGGAACACCACTGCTCTGAGAGTCCATCTCTGAGGCAGATCAGAGAGAATGAAAATGATATCACAGCAGGAGGAAAGTGAGAGCTCAAAGCTGCCAAAAACTCTCCTGACCTTTGAGAGGCAGCTTCTGTCCATCTGTCATCTGAGGAGAGGGGACCATCCATCAGTTCAGAACTGATGAAGTGAGGGTGAGTGGAGAGAAGAAAATGTGCTGCCTAAGCCAGCTCTCCCCACCTTGCTCACATTCAGTAGTTCAAATTCCATGTGTTAGTACCATTGATGTCAGTACAACTACTTGCAGAATAAGATACAATCTAATGTACAGGTGGCAAAGTTAGAGCATTAGTAACTACAGATTTTGGTCACTGCATTTTTGAAGAGAGCACAGACATCCCATATTCCTGATCAAGAGAGAGAATCCTTTTCAATCAAGGGAGATGATATAGTTTGTGTGTCATGTTTACAGAATTTGGGGATGAATTCCTCAGACATGCGTATCAACGACTGCACTAGGATGAAGAATTTAACACCATATAGCTCAGGTGTGCTTTTTTAACAATAAAACATGTAAGTGCAAGCTAAAGGGAATTTAAATTGCGATGGGTTTTTTTAAAATGTACCTGTAATTAACAGTATGTGGAGTGAGATACTAATATACTTTACTCTCCTCATAAAAGATTTTTCTAAAAATCTACTTCACCCAGAACATGGGGAGGGTGAGAGATTATTACAGAAATGACACAGGGGCGTTAAAGAGTGAAACCATTTTAATTTTTCAAATACAAAACTGCTCACATGTAGTAAATTTAGACATAGGCATATGGTCCATCACATCACATTTTACTCAGCAATAACAGTGCCAAAGATTTAAAGTCAATAAATCCCTTATAAGCTAGTGAGCCAATTTACAGGAAAGGCAGAGTAATGGGAAAGAACATTCATAATTAAACATGAACCTTTGTGTTTAATGTATTTCTGGAGTTTGAGCTAAACATATCATGTTGGCCTATGATCAGTGCATGTGGATTCTCTTTCCTCCCAACCCCTACACTTCTGTGAAGACTTATGTTCTTCACTCTTTACTAAAACATCTCCAGCAAATATTTTAGATCTGATCTTGTGAGGTACTCTGGTTCAGTGGGGGAATAGCACCAGGCAGTAGGGTGACCAGATGTCCCGATTTTATAGGGACAGTCCTGATTTTTGGGTCTTTTTCTTATATAGGCTCCAATTACCCCCCACCCCATGTCCCGATTTTTCACATTTGCTATCTGGTCACCCTACCAGGCAGGAGCATTCCCCCTGCCATTTGAGGGATTACAATTAATCACAGGAGACCAGCTATTTAGAGGGGATTTGTGCACCATGCATATTACAACTAAGTCAGCATACAGAAAAATGCTGACTATCCCTTTTATGGACCTTACCCTGTAAGGTGCAGAGTGCCCTCAAGTCCTGTTGTCTCAAATACCCTCAAAACCTAGTTCTTCAGAGCTAAAAGGAAAGTGTAGCACCTAGTACATTTCTAGACCTGTGTGTTGCCTGCTCTGCTGTTGGAAAGCACATCTGTTGCAAACTGAAGTTCCAGGATCTGTGTATAAATTAGAACTGACCTGATTACTTGTAATTCATGCATCCTACTTTGGATGAGGAAGTTACGCTTTGTGAAAGGAGGATTGCAATGTCCTCATCACAACAAGCAGGGCCAGCTCCAGCACCAACGAAGGAAGCAGGTGCCTGGGGCGGCCAATAGAAAGGGGCGGCACTTCGTCCGTTATTGGGGTGGCATGTCCGGGTCTTCGGCGGCAACTTAAGAGCTCCGCTGTAGTCTTCGGCAGCAATTCAGCGGCGGGTCTCTTCACTCTGTCTCTTCCTCTTCAGTAGCACTTCGGCGGCAGCTCAATTGGGTTTTTCTTTTTTTTCCCTTCGCTGCTTGGGGCAGCAAAAAAGCTGGAGCCGGTCCTGACAACAAGACATATATATACTGTATATTTCTACACTCCTTATCCCTTTTCTCTACCCTCCTTTTCTCTGTGTGGCAGTAACACAAATTAAAACGAATGGCCTCTTTTTCATAAGGTGAACTGCAAAACAAAACTGAAGATTGATGTAATTCTGGATTTTGGAGATGAATTTCTCATCTATGCAAGCACTGAGCTAAGTAATGTGCTATAACTTTTTAAAACTCCTATGAAGTTATGGCCCCCTCCTGGTAGGCTACAGATTTCCCAGAATGCATCATTCTGTGACTTCATTGAGTTGCATAAAACTTCTGGTACCAATGATGCCAGAAGGAAAAAGAATCTAGGAAATCCTTGGCAAAGCTTTTTCTCCTTTGAAATCCAAAGGAGAAAAAATAACTTTAAAAATGTTTATTTCTGTGCTGAATGCCTCCTGCATTCAAAACACAGGCAAGTCTGCACTGAAACCTGGGATTTATTTAATTTTGGTCTTAACTATATATATAGTTCATCTTCAATAGTAAATACCACTGAGTCCACCTTAAACAAGAGAGACAATTTAAGAAGATGACTCACAAAGATCAGGCATATAACAGATACAAGCATATAACCGATAAAGATGCTAGAGGATAGATTCTGAATGTACACAGGGATTCTGCTATGCCTCTCCCACTGATTAATGGAAGTAATGTAACTAAATCCCTGTGCATCATGTTAGAAACGTATTCCTATGTGTAATATCTGACGATATTGTTTGTCTTACTTTATATTTTGTTCCTATTGTATACATTAGTGATCTAATCCTCTGCTCTACTATGCATAACTTTACCATCATGTTATTATTGTAGATCTCATAGCTGCCATCCAAAGCACAGACAGAATTCACCAAACTATGTAAAATATTATTAGACATTGGTATTTCCTGTAAACAGATACATATACAAATAAATAATAGATAAATACTGTAGAACAATAGTATTCTTATCTCAGCCTCTACAGAGGTATATTGATAATCCATGGATGATGATGATAAAATCTGGATTTTATCTTTAAAAAGATGTATTATAAGAAATTTCAGTGTAACAAAAACTAAGGTAGATTATAAATGGTTTTACAATTACATTTAGAAGAGTTTCTTTTGCCTTTGCTGAACTGTAGGTAGAAACAGCATTTAAGCACCTTTCATTTAGAAATGAGAACAGTAAACCCTTCCAGTCAGAACATGAGGTAAAACAATATTCAAAAACAGTCCTCCAGTTTCTCCACGTCTCTTATACTGAATTTTCAGACTATCATACATACAACTGGGAGAAACAATCAAATGTAAATTACAAAATCATATCAGATTTAGAAGACTGCTCACAGTAAATTGAAAACATAGCCTAAGGAAATCTTTTGCACAACTGCTATGTCTATGCATGTGCGAGAAAAGCTAGAAGGCACTTTTCTATGTTTTTTTTTAAAGTAAAAAATGCATTCAACAGATATAGCTCTGACAGTCTTATTTATGCATTCATCTTAGCAGCAGTTTAAATATGGTTGATATGCAACCATCAACTATCAGCATAAAAATGCAGAATATAATTTTGCCACAGTTTTTGTTGTTATTCAGTTCAAAGTCTCTAACTAGTGATAACTTTGAGATACAGTACATGCTTTTGTGAAGAATGCATATTGCAAAATCTACCATATACATGTTAATCAATTTTTTTAAATGTTCTTCAAGCATATTTCAATGATTACTTTGGTCAGCTACAGACAAAAGGTCTTCTGACTCTACAACATTTTGTTAAGAATAGTAATCCCTTTGGTATTAAGTTACAGTTTTACATAATGTAAGGTTTTAATATTGTATTAAGTCCTCATTCAATACATACAGTGCACTCAAGCTTGCAAATACACCTGATAATTAAATTTGCCTGACCTTGCATTTACACTTGTTATTTACAACATGTGTAGTCAGTATTCTAAAGACTCTTCCCCTACTCCTTTAGAAATACATTTTAAACACTAACCTGATTTTTACATTGGTGATGCTTATTTTTGACACTTGAATACAGTTCATTGTGGCTCAACCATGCCAAAATAGAAAAAAATACACACAGATTCAGACAAATGAATGGAAAATGTTGCTGTTTCAAAAGTACCAGATCATGTAGTTACGTCTGTAGGAACTCTGTTCTCAGAATTAAAATAGAATTACAGGGAAAAGGAAAACAATGGACAGCTCCAGTGTAATTTTCACACACTGTCCATCACACAGGTGAATTCAGTTCTTTTCCATCTCACAGGATGACTAGCCCTTTTTGCTGACAATGAGATTGCGATGTTTCTTCCTGTAATTATCTGTGTGGAACTAGAGACACTGTTGTGCAAGCAAGGAGCCTGTTTAAAAGTGTTTGATACTAAAATGATATGATTCCTTCAATTTCAGCCAGATCTTTGCCAAAAGACTGTCTCCATGTTGGTTAATATAGCTGAAGTTCCATACATTTGCATGTGGCTAAGTCCTGGTGAGTTGATAACCCTTAGATAATATAAAGCTTTCAAAGTGCTGATCTTCTGCCTTTTCCTTCAGTCTCTGCTCTTCTAAGGAAGATACAAGTTTGTCCCTTTCTTCAATCACTTTCATCATCTCAGTAAAAATTTCATGTTCCTCGTTCAGTTCTCGTTCATCTTTTAGGCTATCTAGGAGATTGCAAAACAAGCAGTTAAAACACTATTGTAAATTGGGACCATTACTGTAGACCAAAACATATAATTAACTTCCCAGTTTCTTTACCATCAATGGCCATTTTCTCTCTCAGTTTCTGCTCCAATCTTCTTTGGTGATCCTCCAGTTCTAGTTCTTGGGCTCTAGATACAAAAATAAGAATGGCAAAGAATCAGCTGACAGATTTTCTAAGGATTTTAGAACTCAGAAGGTAACCATCAACCTTCAGCAGACCTGTTAAAAAGATTGATATACAGGCTCCTACGGATCTGGCCTTTTTAATAAGATTATAATGATTTTATGCTCATTTGATTGTCAATACTGCTGTCCTTTTATTATGTTGCTGCTTCTTAGATCTCTGGCGGATAAACTTAGTGGTACATGCACATTAAGAAGGGCATTCTTTCCCTAAAATTAATGAGATGCAGCAGGAGTATGCTATTATTATTATTACCTAAAATAATAAGAGAAAATGGTAAGATCATTTCCTTTTTCTTATTACAATCACCACCACTATAATGGACAAATGTTGTTCCTGTTAAAATAATTGTCAAGAAAATGAATAACAATGCTAGTGTTCAGCATACTGAGATGTTATGGTAACGTTATTATAGACATGGACTCTAGTCATTGAGTATACTGTGTATATCCCCCATCTCCAGTATCTTCTCTATACAATCAGTGAGATTGATCCAAAAGTTTTGGCTCTTCCTACATTCTCACATTACAAACTGGATAGCATCATTACACAGGATCTCCATTTCCCTCATTCACTTGGGGCATTTGAGTGTGGTGAAATTGTACGCAATTATCCTTTGTTAAGATGACTAAAGGCCTGATCTTAGGAGAAACTGAACAATTCGACAAGTTGAGGGCAGCTCCTCACAGGAGAGAGACCCTGGAGGAAGAGGAAGTAACACATGAATAAAATCAGATAATCTCATTTTGATGTGTTGAATTGATTGATACAGTCCTATATTTGTTTTTTTAAATGCCCTTTTCAGACAACAGGAAGCACTGATACCACAAGAACAAAGGGCAAATAAGAAATAAACATTTATACAGAGCCTTAAATTATAAACCTTGTGATCAGGGTCTAGTGGTTGGAGGTTTTCCCAACACAGTAGTACGTGGCCAGCTGCACAATGTTGGCAGTCCATCACTGATGACGATATTGTTGCAATTCTCATCTGTGGCTACCCTTATAACTCTGAAGTCCAAACCCTGATGCACAGAGTCAGCTGCACTGAGATCATGGGAAGACTATCTATGATGTTTGATGATGCCACTATGTAGCACCTTTCATGTGAGACTTGGAGATGATTTAGTCAATCCTGCTCAAACCTGTTACATCCTGATTTTGTCAGAGACCGCCAGTGAGTCCTGTTCTGAGCCATCTGCTCAAGTTCTTTGAGACTGATGCCAGCCCACTCGAGACTGCTCCTCAGGTTATCTGTGAAGTGCTTATACTTCTTTCTTCTGTCCTTTGTGGCTTGGTTGGAGACACAGACATAGAACAAGTTGAACAGCACAGGAGCAAATATGCAGCCTTGCTTTGCTCCATTCGAGATTTAAATGCATCAGAAGAGTCACCATTGAAGAGCACTTGCACTGTCATGTAATTGTGGAACAGATGGATGATTTGTATGAACCTTTTTGGGCAGCCCTGTTTATGTAGAATAGCCAATAGACCCTCTCTGTTGACTGTATCAAAAGCTTTGGTAAAGTCGATGAAGAATGCATACAGGTCCATGTTCAGCTTGAAACATTTTTCCAGGACCTGCCTTATGACAAAAATCATGTCCATAGTACTACGACCTGGTCTGAAACCACACTTCAGCTTCTGGCAGATTCTCCTCAGATATGTTTGCAATGAGTCTGTTCAGAAGAATGTGAGCTAGTATCTCCCCTGTTGTTCAAAGGAAGGAAATGCTTCTGTAGTTTTCAGTCAGCCAGATTTGCTGCCTTTGTTTTTGAACAGGGATACAATAATATCATCTTTCAAGTCTTGTGGCATTTCGTCTTCCTCCCAAATGCTACTCAAGGTATCGTGAAACATCTTGATAGCCTTTGGGCCTGCTACTTTGTACACTTTGGAATACCATCCTTTTCAGAGCCTTGCCAAAGTTCAATTGCTTGATGGTTTTCATGACCTCTTCAACTGTTGGAAGGAGGTAGAGATCCTCTGATGGATTTCTTGGGTAATTGGTCAAGGATACGCTGATCAAAGTGGATGGTCTATTGAGTAGACTATTGAAGTGTTCAGCCCATCTCTGCATGATTCCCTCCTTGTCTTTGAGGAGGGTTGTGCCACCTGCCAACTTCAGGTGAGCTGTGCCAGATTTAGATGGTCCATAGACTGCTTTCAGAGAGTCAAAGAACATCTTTGTATTGTTTAGCATTACGCAGATACAAACTTGTTCAGGTTTCCTTTCCACCATTCATCCTCCATACTCCTCACTTCAAACTGGGCCTTGCTCTGTAGGTCAGAGGCGGGCAAACTCTTTGGCCTGAGGGCCGCATCGGGTTTCAGAAATTGTATGGAGGGCGTTAGGGGAGGCTGTGCCTCCCCAAACAGCCAGGCGTGGCCCGGCCCCACCCCCTATCCTCCCCTGCTTCTGGCCCCCTGATGGCCCCCCCGGGACCCCACCCCATCCAACCACCCCTTTTCCCTGTCTCCTGACCGTCCCTGGAGCCCCTGCCCCTGTCCCCGCTGCCCCATCCAACCCCCCCTCTCCTTCCTGACTGCTCCCCTGGAACCCTTGCCTCCATTCAACCCGCCTGTTCCCTGCCCTCTGACCGCCCCGACCCCTATCCATACCCCCCACCCCCTGACCACCACCCCAAACTCCCCTGCCCTCTATTCCCACACACACACACACACACACACACACCCGTTCCCCACCTCCTTACCACGCTGCCTGGAGCACTGGTGGCTGGTGGCACTAGACGCCACGCTGCCCAGAGCACCAGGACAGGCAACCACGCCGCCCGGCTGGAGCCAGCCACACCACTGCGCAGCACAGAGCACCGAGTCAGGCTGGGCCCGCTCTGCAGCTGTGCTGCCCAAGGAACTCACAGCCCCGCCTCCCAGAGTGTTGCACTGGCGGTGGGGCGAGCTGAGGCTGTGGGGGAGGGAGAACAAGAGGGGAGAGGCCGGGGGCTAGCCTCCCGGGGCAGGAGCTCGGGGGCCGGGCAGGAGGGTCCCACGGGCCAGATGTGGACCACAGGCCGTAGTTTGCCCACATCTGCTCTAGGTACTTAAATCTATCTTTCTTTGAGATGTAAGTGAGATCATTCTGCCATTCAACAAACTCTTTCTGCTGGTCACTTAGGAGTTTGGAAATGTCGTCGTTGTTCTCATTGAACCAGTCCTGGTGTTTGTGGCCAGCTGCACAATATGGAACTGATAAATCCCAACCATCTACCTACTGCTAGAGCAGAACCCAGGGATTAAGAGATGCCATCTAGACCTACAGTGCACCACCCATCTAGCCCAAGCAGTAGGGGTAGGAAGCAGCTGGGAGTCACTTGATTCTGACTTGGCAGGCATATACGGTACAAACATTTGTGGGAGCGAAGGTGCACATTTTTAAGACAATGACCAAAGTACTGATGGATCCAAACTCTGTTTTAATCCACCCCAGATTTTGACACCACTCACTCTGCCTCTGTATTCTAGTCCTAGAGCAGAATGAATAACTGAATGTTTAGTCTGGTGGCCAAACTAAAATATCTGGGGAAAAAATTAATTTCAGGTCAACCCAAAATGGAAATGGTTCAGCTTTTTCAGCATTCTTTTCCCCCCAATGGAAACTATTTACCAGATTTGGCCAAAATTCAGAAATAGTTTCATTTGACCTGAAACTGCATTTTTTGATGAGTAAACTATTCATCCAAAACATTTCACCCAGCTCTACTCACAAATGAGTTTAATCTTTCCTTTCATTTCCTCGTGTTGCCCAGGAAAAGTGGATATACGGTATGTTAGAAATCTCCCTCCACTTCCCACTCATTCGGTGCCTTGACCAATTTGTTTTCCAGTGGATTAAATGCCTGGGAGGTCATTAGGCCCATTAGTGCATCCACAAATAGTGCTATGTAATAGACCTATAGGATCAAAACCACTGTACCACTGGGGAGTTCAAGTGCAAATCTGTGTTTGGAATAGAATGTAGCTTTGGGTCCATTTATTCTAACACACTTCCAACTCCAGGAAACAGTAATGCAAGAAGGAGAAGCGTGGACTCTCTCTGTGTGCTAATGGCGATATGCTATGCAAGACGCAAAGTGGCAATTTAGCTCAATAATGAGAGCCACATGTATCAAGAGGAAAATCCTATGCCTGGGACCTAAAATGAGTCCACTTCCCCACCCCCCACATCTTTACTACTGATGGCAAACTGTGTTTTCTTACTTACATGATCAAGAGCTCAGACTCATAACGCACTAATTTATTCTTCTCCAGGACCAGCTCAAACCATTCATGTAACAGCTGAGTTTCATCCTGTGTGCCTGAATCTGATTGAGATATAAAAAATAAATGTGTTATATTGGATTTCCCTCTCCATGATCAAACTGCTTTGAAGCCACTTTAAATGATCCTTGTTTGTATGGCTAGATGTGTACCATGTAGAACCTTTGTGATGTGATATTTCTGTCACTAGTTTTCCAAGGTACCCGATATACAGTTTATTGTTATAGTTTATTGTAGTTAAGGATAAACTGAATTTTAGGCTAGAATAAATACAAGAAAAGAATCCCACTTCCATCTTGAAAATTAGCAGGCTTTTTTTGTTTTTAAAATATTTGTCTACTCCTTTTTGAAATGGTTGGTATTAATTGCTCCTTATTCTGGCATAAATAATTCATTTTTTTTATGTTAACACGACACCTGATTTATCTATTTTAGGTGGATACTTCCATCAGAAAGATCAGACTTAAGGGTGGGCAAGGATGGCATATGTCAACTGGTCCTTCTTCCTGGTGGTACCCTCACTCTTAATCAAAGTCCCTACCAAAAGGGCCCCCAGCTCATTTGCCATCTGACATTTGTCTTTAAATCTGCATCTGTGAAATAAATGTTTTGACTGATTAGAAAAGCTGCACTATAGAAAGTCCCTTATTATTATTAATATTATTTGTACTGTAGTAGTGTCTCAAGTCCAGGATGCCATTGTGCTAGGTGCCGTAGAGTCAGATAACAAAGAGATGGCCCCCGCCCCAAAGAACTCAGACTATAAACAATTAGTGGATACAACTATTCTATAAAGAACAGATTCCCTAAGATGAAAGCATTCCTTCACTGAGTGCCAATATTGCCCCACAAGAAGAGATGGCAATGGATAACTGGCCTTTTAAAGCTGTCATTCAGGGTATATTGGTGAAACTTTGTTTTAAGACCTGGAATAGCCCATCATCACATAAATGTAGGGCTCAAAGGGACTCGAGAGGCCATCTAGTCCAGCCCCCAGTGCTGAATTAGGACCAAGTATACCGAGACCATCCCTGACAGGTGTTTGTCTAACCTGTTCTTAAAAACCTCCAATGGCAGGGATTCCACAACCCCTTTGGGCACCTATTCCAGTGCTTAACTATCCTTATAGTTTAAAAAGTTTTTTCTAATATCTAATCTACATCTCCCTTGCTGCAGATTAAGCCAATTACTCCTTGTCCTACCTTCAGTGGACTTGGAGAACAATTGATCATGGTCCTCTTTATTGTAGCTTTAAATATAGTTGAAGCCTGTTTTCAGATTCACCCCTTCCCCCCGTTGTCTTTTCTCAAGATTCAACATGCCCAGTTTTTTTTAACCTTTCCTCATAGATAGATTTATATAAATCTTATATCATTTTTGTTGTTCATCTCTGGACTCCAATTTGTCCATATCTTTCTTAAAGTGTGGCACCCAGAACTAGACAGTACCTCAGCTGAAGCCTCACCAGTGCTGAGTAGAGAGGGACAATTACCTTTTATGTTTTCCATCAAACACATTTGTTAACATACTCCAGAATGATGTTAGTTTTTTTTTTCCAACTGCATGACACTGGTGACTCGTATTCAATTTGTGATCCACTACAACCCCCTAATCTTTTTCAGCAGTACAACTGTCTAGCCAGTTATTCTACACTTTGTAGTTGTGCATATATTTTCTTCCTAAGTGTAGTAGTTTGTACTTGTCCTTATTAAATTGCATCTTGTTGATTTCAGACAAATTCTCCAATTTATCAAGATAATTTTGAATTCTAATCCTGTCCTCCAAACCCCTCCCAGCTTGGTGTCATCTGCAAATTTTTCAAGTACCCTTTCCACTCCATTATCCAAGTAATTAATGAAAATATTGAACAGTACTGGCCCCAGGACAGATCCTGGTAGGAGCCAACTAGATACGTCCTGCCAGTTTGACACTGAGCCACCAATAGATAAATACTCTATTCATAATCATCTATCCTTTTAATGTTCTGTTAGAAGTAGGTACTCCTCACAACAGTAGGATCCCACAGGTCATTAATACATATGGCTAAATTTTCAAAAGAGGATGCAGTGCACTGAGGAAGCCCCCTACATGGATGAATCTAAAATGGATGCTTGTGTACCATACCCAACTACCCCTTGGTGCAGGTTGTTTGTACCTTTGAAAATTTGGCTACAAAATTAACACACTCGTCCCTTAAACTGATTCTTTGGTATTTTACCAACCATTTCCCAGCCAGACCTGCCAAAAAAAAATCTCTAGGCCCAAGAGGCTTTCAAAAGATCTGAGCCCCCTTGATCTATACACATCTCTTTCCCCCTTTCTAGCTTGCCCTTCTGCCCAATTTTCCAGTTTCTTCTTTGCTAAATGAAAGAAAGAGTTATCCTGCCTAAGATGACATTGGGGGAGGAGGGGGGGCGCTTTTAGATTTTAAATATTTAGGGATAGTTAAATATGCTGTAATATGGCTCCCATTGTTACTAACTACAGTAGTACTGAGGAAGCTGGAAACATGTCTCCATAATGTCTGTCACGTCCATACTGCAGTGCACTTCCCTTTCGGCGTGTACAGTGAATAATAATAATAAATAATAATAATAATAATAGATAGGATATAGATGTCTTAATTTACTTCAGGATTGTCTCAACTTTGAGGGACAATTCCAATGTCCAGCCAGTTCCACCAATGTCAGGATTCTGTCTGCATTTCAGTAGAATCCCAGGACATCTGATCTCTCTGGCTACTGTCAACATAGTGATACCACTGTGTTGAAATCCTCCAGAGCAGTGCCTTCATCAGTCATGAAGCAGCAACTCCTCCTCTCCTGCAGTACACTATGCATTTCAGCTCTGTGCATCTTGCTCCTGGATGAAGAGCTGAGAGAACCACTCACCGAATTGCTCAGAGGCACAAAGAGATGAGCTGTCCACGAGTTCAGCAGCTTCCAACCCAGAGAATGGCAGTTGGCTCTTCAATCTGCTGCTTCCCTGGGAGGGCAGTATGAGAAGAATAGAACTGGAAAGAAGTATGGGACAGAAAAAGTGTGTGTGTGTGGGAGGGGGGGGCAGGTGAGAGAGAGAGAGAG